TGTTTGCGTGTTTGGGTGGGCTTTAAGCAGACAGTAGATTATAGGTTCCCAAATCCCCAATTCCAAAATACCCTAACCCCTATGGATTCGCAGCTTCGGGGGTGTAAATCCTACGCCCACCTTGTCCCAGAGGAGATCGCCCATCGGAAGGAGTGAGTGCCTTCGGCCACTTGTCAATTTAGGGTTTGCTGTTTAGGGTTTGGGGGGGTTTGGGACCCTAAACCTAGGACCCAGAATAGGCCCGTAATTCCCCTTTTTAGGGTTTAGGTTCCCTTATTAATTTTGTGAGCTGAATGCGGGCACTCTCAAGGATAGAGAGATCGCGCTCAGGGTTTCTTTTGCGCGGTTTGATTTGTTTTAGGTTGGGATGTTCCCCCTTGTACTAACAGTCCTTGATAGGGATTATACTAGGGGGTACTATAATCCTTATTAAGGACTGTTAGTAGAAGGGGGGACATCCCGAGTTTTTATGGTTTAAATGTAAGCTTTCGTTGAGGCTTCACGGTTAAGGGTTCAGGTTTCGGGGTTCGGGCTTTACGCATGGTTTGGGGTTGTCATGACCCGAAACCCTACCCCGAAACCCTCAACGCTGAACCCTGCTTCAACCCTACTTTCGGTTGGCATGTTGAGGCTTTCCATGGCGGGTCACGAGCCTAAACCCTAAACCCTAAACCCTAAACCCTAAACCCTAAACCCTAAACCCTAAACCCTAAAGGGCCTAAGACACCGGTGGTGACCTGGATTTGGGGACTAAACTCGCTCTGGCCACAAGGAGAGGCAGTGTCTAAACCTAAGCCCTAGTTTAGGGGTTTAGGGTTTAGGGTTTTGCCCTAAACCCGAAACAGCCTTCACCCTATGAACCCTAAACCCTACACCCCATGCAGACTTCACCCGACCCAAACCCTAAACCGTCAATTCTCAACCCCAAGACTGGGGATGCTCCCCCTCATACTAACACTCCTCAAGAGAGATTCTAGTAGCCCCCAGAAGAATCCCTATCAAGGACTCTTAGTATAAGGGGGAACATCTCAACCGAAAAACCATCAACTTTTTATCTCTCCTCAAACCCTGAACCCTCAACCCTAAACCCTAAACCCTAAACCGCTAATTTAGCCGGGGAAGATGGTCTAGAAGTCCCCACCTCAATGGCTCAATCCTACACCCGAAGCCTTGGCAGGCTTTGCTCAACCCGATAGGGTTTAGGGTTTAGTGTTTAGGGTTTAGGGCTTAGGGTTTAGGGTTTAGGGGGCTTTAGGGGTTTTAGGGTTCATTAGGGGTTTCAGAGGCTTTAGGGGATTTAGGGCTTGTGGGGCAATGGGTTGGACTTTTCGGGTTTAGGGTTCGGAGCTCAAACTCAAGCGTAACTGCCCTCTGAAGCCAAAGCCCCCGGTGAAACATAGTCACACAAGCACTCCAGCAACTCTTCGGTAGGATAAGGGGGACCCTTAAACAGGAACCCTTCTTAACCGTCTTCTGGCTCTTCAACAGGCCCCCCCCAGCAACAATGTCCCTGAAAGCGGCCTCGAACGCTACCCTACGAAATCGGAGGCCACCCTAACATCCCTGAGCCCTGAACCCTGAATAAACCCTTACGTAAACCCTTACCCCCCCAAAGCCCTAAAGCCCTAAAGCCCTAAAGCCTAAACCTGAACCCTGAACCCTAAACCCTAAACCCCAAACCTAGAAGCTGTAAAAGCGCTAAACCGAGGACAAGAGGCCCAGGTGTCGGCCACCCTACTGCGTCGAGCTGGCCCCCACACGCTGGCGCTGGCGGGGCGACCCTGTCGGGCTGATTTTAAGGGTCTAAGAGTGTAAGGGTTTAGGGTTAAGGGTTTTGGGGTGTAAGGGTTTAAGGGTTTAGGGTAAAGGGTTTAGGGTTAAGAGTGTAAGGGTGTAGGGTTAAGGGTTTAAGGGTTTAGGGTTAAGGGTTTAAGGGTTTAGGGTTAAGGGTTTAGGGTTAAGAGTGTAAGGGTTTAGGGTTAAGGATTTAGGGTTAAGGGTTCAAGGGTTGAAGGGTTTAAGGGTTTAAGGGTTTAAGGGTTTAAGGGTTTAAGGGTTCAAGGGTTTAAGGGTTTAAGGGTTTAAGGGTTTAAGGGTTTAAGGGGTTAAGGGGTTTAAGGGTTTAAGGGGTTTAGGGGTTTGGGGGTTTAAGGGTTCAGGGGTTTAGGGGTTTAGGGGTTTAGGGTTTAGGGGGTTAAGGGTTTAGGGTTTAGGGGTTTTGGGGTTTAAGGGTTTAAGGGTTTAGGGTTTAAGGTTTAAGGGTTTAAGGGTTAAGGGTTTAGGGTTAAGGGTTTAAGGGTTTAAGGTTTTTTCAGGGTTTAAGGGTTTAAGGGTTTAAGGGTTTAGGGGTTTGGGGGTTTAAGGGTTCAGGGGTTTAGGGGTTTAGGGGTTTAGGGGTTTTAGGGTTTAGGGGTTTAGGGTTATGGGGTTAAGGGTTTAGGGTTTAGGGTTCAAGGGTTGAAGGGTTTAGGGGTTTAGGGTTTAAGGGTTTAAGGGTTTAGGGTTTAGGGTTTGGGGGTTTAAGGGTTTAAGGGTTTAAGGGTTTAAGGGTGTCAGGGTGTAAGGGTTTAAGGGTTTAAGGTTTAATTTCGGGTTTCGGGTTTAGCGTTTAGGTAGGCCCTTGCAAGGTATTTGTACTTGCCTGTTGGAGATGGTTTATAGTTCGAAGCATGTTTCAGAGGGTTCTAGAGGCCATTCTAGTTAATTGTTTTGGTTTAGGGGTTTTGGTTGCTACCCTTAAGGCCACATGAGGCCTAGTCTGAACCCTAACCCCTGAATCCTATACTAGATCCCGAACCAAACTAAAGCAAACTAAACAAGACCCGACGCCTAAGCCCCTAAATTGAACCCTCAACTGGCTCTCAGAATGGCCCATTAGCACAGGAGCCTTAAGGATTACCAATTCTCCCCTTGCGGTTGGTTTGTACTTCGAATGAACACTAGCCAAAAAAAGGCTTGGAGTTTTAGGGTGCAGCGTCTTCTTGAATGTATGTAGCGCACCGAGGAAACGCTAAACCCTAAAGCCCAAAGCCCTAATTATATCCGAAACCCTGAAACCCTGAAACCCTGAGCCTGAACCCCAAACGCCACATTACTAGGGTTACCCTTTGGGTCCTAATCCCTAAACCCTATAAACCCTAAACCCTAAACCCTAAACCCTAAACCCTAAACCCCATGTTACGTGCCCAACTGGCACACCAGGTGGACGAGTTTGGCCGCGGTACCGAGCCACGAGCCGCCAAGGTGGGTTGTAGGGCTTGGGGCTTTAGGGTTTTAGGGTTTGGGGCGGGGGTTTAGGGTTTAGGGGTTAGGGGTTAGGGGTCAGGGCGTAGGTTTCAGGGTTTAGAGTTTCGGGCTTAGGGCTTGGGATTTAGTCTTCAGCTTTGTATTTGAGGGGTGAGGGTTTTTCGGAAGATAAAGTTGCTTTGCTACTTGGGGGCTCGCACCGTGATTCTGATGGTTTCACGCTCCCCATGGCTTTTGGCCTTACGAGGTCAGATGCAGTGGGTTGAGGGTGTAAGGATTTGAGGCTTCCGGGTTCAGGGTTTAGGGTTCGCTGAGCCTGAAAGCTCCCCAAGTTCTTTGAGGGTTTTTGGGGTTTAGGATGTAGGGCTTAGGTTTTTTTTTCGCAAGAGCCCGAAGCTGTGAACTTGGGAGCCCCCCTTCTTCCGAAGTTCTTGAGCTTCAAACTCTCAACCCCGGCGCCAAAGAAAGGTTGTTCCAAGTTTTATAGGGTCCTTTTTAGGCTCTAAATCCTAAACCCTAAACCCAAAACCCGGGTTCAAGGGGGGTATGTATCCCAAGGTTCCCTCAAACTCCCCACTACTCCCTGAGGCTCCCTAAGCTTGCCCTATGGACCCCCTCCCTTAAGAACCCTATGAAAGTTCTGGCCTAAACCCTAAACCCTAAACCCTAAACCCTTTGGGAGGGAGGGGGGGGGGGGAGGGGGTAATGGGTCATGGTGCCAGTGTCGTCAAGAAGGGCTTAGCGGCCGAGGGGGAACCCCAAAGAACCCTCAACTGCGTATACCTTAAGCAAGATAGGGGCCCCTCATCATTTGAGGTATATCCCTGAATGGGTCCTCGGCTTTCGGGGAAAAATGTCTTCTTGATGTTTAGGGTGTGGTTCTGGGAGGTTTTTGTCTCCAAACTAAGGCCCTAAACCCTGATCCCTAAACTCTAAACCCCAAACCCTAAACCCTAACCCCTAACCCCTAAACCCTAAACCCTAAACCCTAAACCCTAGAGCAAGCCTCTTCCCGCAGCTCACTGGCTACTAGCAGCAAGGGCAGAGTGATCGCGGCCTGTGCGCTCCCAGGATGCGTAGCAGTATCATTTTTGCCAGAGCGCTTTAGGGTTTGGGTTTAGGGTTTTAGGGTTTTAAGGTTTTAGGGTTTTAGGTTTCAGGGTTTTAGGGTTTAGGGTTTGGGGTTTAGGGCTTAGGGTTTAGGGTTTAGGACTTCGTCATATGTACCCTGATGTACACAAAGGATCCCTTTGCCCTATGTACTTTTTAGCAGGTAGTCCCTAACTAGGGAAGATGCCCTCGATGATACCCAAGGATCCCCAAAAAACACGTCAATGCATATTCCTGAGTCAGCGAACATATCCGGAAGTGTACTCGCACCTAAGGATCCTTATATACTTTGAAGTATGTTCCTTAGCTAAGGGGGCGCGTGTTGGGCTCTTTGAGTTTTCTTGGGCAGAACCACTTCCCTCCATCCCTAAGCTTGATACCTTTACTACTATTTGCTCAAGAACCTCCCCAACCACAACAAAAGCACATAAGTCAAACTGCAAATAGTATATGCCGTGTATTGCCCTTAGAAGGAAGAATATCTTTCACATTTTTTTTCTGAGGGGGGGGGGGTTCTTAAGCAAGTAGTAGCAGTGGTGGTGGTAGTAGTAGTAGTAGTAGTAGTAGCAGCAGCAGTAGTAGATGACTAACGCAAGGTTTTCGTTTCAATGTCAGAAGAGCGCCTGTCGCAGCTTCGGAGCCGCATGCACAATGCCTGGCGCCGGGAGTGGACCCCCGAGGATTATCGCTTGGACAAAGCCTGGAAGCCCGACCAGGGTTTAGGGTTTAGGGTTTAGGGTTTAGGGAGTCCCCTCAAACTTCCAGGGGCCGAAGAACTAAGAAAGGGGTCGGAGTGGTTACTGCTAGTGTTCTCCTATGGTCCCTAAAATAGATACACTAGAATACCCCCCCCCCCCCCCCCTCTCCAAAAAAAAAAAAAAACCTGTTCTGAAAAATTAGGCCCCCTCTATTAGGTTCCTAGAATCGTTCAGGGCTTCACGGTTCGGCCCCCAGAAGTGCAGGGGCCAGTCGTATACTTTTTTTGGTCTTTTGTGGGCTGGAGCCCGCCCCAGTGCTGGTTGCGTATCTTTGACCTGTAGACCCCTAAACCCTAAACCCTAAACCCTAAAAACCTAAGCTTGAACTCCAAGCTAGGTTGCCCTACGCCTGAAAGAAGTCTGACAGAGCCTTATACCAAGCCCTGCACCCTTAACCCCTAAAGCCCGCAAAAGCCCGAAACCCAAAAAAAAACCCTAAACCCTTAAGGGTCCAAGGTAGAACCCCTAAACCCTACACCCCTAGACCCGAACCAGGTTGGCCTTTGGGATGGTTTATATGTTCCTTACTTGGGTTTAAAGTTTAAAGCCATATTTTAACAATGGGTTTAAAGTTCAAAGCCCAACCCAGCGAAGGCACAAACCCCTAAACAACCCTAAACCATAAACCCCAAACCCTGACCCCTAAGCCCTAAACCCCGAGGAAGAACCTCAGCATGAGAAGCAGCCTCGAGCTGTGGCCGTGTGATATGGTGGAGGCACCCGGGCCGCACCGTGGGTTAGGGGTTTAGGTTTTGGGGTTTAGGGTTTTAGGGTTTAGGATTTTGGAGTTTCTCCCTTTGTTTTTTGACTGTCCTTAATCGGGATTCTACTAGGGGGTACTATAATCAAGGTTTAGGGTTCAGGGTGTCGGATTTTGGGGTTTCTCCGATGGTCTTGGTACACAGTGACTCCAAAACCCCTTAATTCAGGAATATACCTTAAATCACTATAATTCAAGGTATATTCCTTCATTAAGGGGTTTTGGAGTCTCTGGGTAAGGTGTTCCGCTCCGATCGATTCCGCTTCTTCCTGGGAAGCTTGGCATCCGCCCTGAAGTTTCAGGAATCTCGGATTGCATGCAGTAGGGCTTATAGCTTCCCAACCCCCAAGCCGCAGCCCCTTTTAGGGTTTAGGGTTTAGGGTTTAGGGTTTAGGGTTTAGGGTTTAGGGTTTAGGGTACCCCGCAAGCAATCCTTAACTTTCTCCCCGGCCTCGTAACTGAGGAGAAGTGCCCAGACCTACACATGGTCTTCACGATGAATGCAGAGGATCAGCCCTCAGGTGCCATTAGGGTTTAGGGTTTAGGGTTTAGGGTTTAGGGTTTAGGGTTTAGGGTTTAGGGTTTAGGGTTTAGGGTTTACCACCCGCTGTACTACCCCCCGCCCCCCATAGTTGAGGCTACTCAGGGATAATTAAGGTTATCGAAGGCTACTATTTAAGGGGGGAACCTTGGGCGGGGTAGTATAGAGGGGGGGGATCCCGCATCCTGACGTAACCCTAAGCTCTAAGCACGAGGCGCCACTAGCCCTAAACCCTAAACTATATGCACTAGGGCTTTACAAGAGCTAGAGGAACTGTACCAAATGGGGTTGGGCTGCGCCTTTCCAGATCCCCGGACATATCCTCAATGTGTGTTCCTGGGTTTAGCGTTTCGTGTTTGGGCAAGGTTTCTACGCGATAGCCCCCTGTAAGCCTCTTTCTCTCTCTATATATATATGTATATATATATATTCTCTCTCGCTATATATATATATATATATATATATATATATATATATTATGTAGAGCGAGAGAGATCGCAACAACCATGATAAGTACCAAAGAACAAGTTTCCGTACGCGGCGACACCGCAGTATGGGCACAGGCATCTTCTTTATGTACTTTGCGTTCCTGACTTGAACACCTTAGACCCGAAAGTTGAGCCTACTAAACCCTAAACCCTAAACCATGAACCCTACACGCGCAGATGGCGAGCCACCAGACTGGGCCGTCTTCTTCAAGGAGCGAAACGTTCTGAACTTTCGCTTCGGGGGCTACGACAAGACGAATGCCGGATGCTCAAACAGCCGTTTTGTTTTGTGGGTCTAATCTAGGATGCCCAGTAGTGCCCTTATTCCCTTTTTGGGGTCTCTAGGTTCCGCTATAAACCCCGTTTAGGCAAAAAAGGGCACCCTTTTTAATCCTAGGTTACTGGGCAACCTAGTATTTAGGGTTGAGGGTTTAGGGTTTAGGGTGTAGGGTTTAGGGTTTAGGGTTTAGGGGGTTGAGGGGTGATATTTTTATGAGCGAACCGTACCGGAGGGTACACAGCTGGCCTTTGTATTGAGCTTCCTCTGTTTTCCTAGACTCCACGGGCTCCTCAACAAGGACTGATAGAAGGTTGTTT